TCATAATGAAAATATCTAAGATGGACCCAAGAATATTTAGATAAATAATTCTAAAGACTATTTTCTTAATTCATTTAATTTTTATATAAAATTAATTTATAATTTCAAATAAAATAGAAATTATTTATTTTCAGATAGAATAGAAATTAATTTATTGAAATAAAAGAATAATATTTCTATATATTTTATAATAAATCTAATGTATTTTTTGAGAATATGAATTGAGAAGAATTATTAGAAAATTATATAAAAATATAAGAAGAAGAACCTAATATTATAGACCTAATAATTCTTATAATCTCTACCCCTCTCCCTTATCTTCCGTCGAATAAATATAAGAGATTTAACGCCTCATCCCATCAATAGTAATTCCAATCTTAATACCTATGAATCTAAAATCGATAATTTTCTTCAAAGAACAATATTTCAAATTAAAATCATAATCGAGAAAAATATGAAATATTAATATATATATATATATAATTTAAATTATATAAAATATATATAATTTCTTTAAATCTATATTTTTTAATTAATTTCTATATTTATTTTGAGATCAATCACTAACTAATAATCATTTAATCTAAATTAGAATCAATAGAATTGCATAATATATATTTATATATTTATTATATAAATGAATATAAATAAATCATATACTATATCGAATTTCTTATAGCTTTATAAATATGAAAATTATATAATATCAAGATCTTACCTTATTATTAAATATATCGCATAGAAAATTATATTAACGAATTCGAGAAAATCTATTATAGAAATAGTTATAGGATGGAGGCCATGGCCATGCCAAGCTTCCATACGTAGTTTCCAAGAATATAAATTGATTTGATTAAAAATTTGGTCTAAAAAATATAAAGACCATTGATTTTTAAAACAACTTTTGCTACGCACGTGCAGGGAATCGGCATGTAAATCTCAATCGAGCCTGCAGGTGGTGTCGCACGTGCCCGCAGATTTCGTTTGCAAGGCTGGCCGAACGTGCAAGGTCAGTTTTCTGACTCTGCTTCCTTGATGCCGCTGTTGCTTGTGATGTGCACTTGAGGCAGCATCGCATCGGCCGAAACCGCAGGCCTGTATTCTTCGCGCTTCCTGCACCATGAGGAGAATCAATCCCGAAGACATCTTCTGGAAAGCTTGAACCAATGCCAATGCATGCAGTGGTACAGGAAGACTGACGTTAACCGCAGTGGGCCGGGTGAACAGGATCTGCCTTCGGCAGCCCTCTACTGGCCAGTAATACTTCGCATTTTCAAAACACACACCGTTCACATCAATTCGGGTTAACGTGGCATATCACGTAAGTCTTGCTTTCTTGGCATGGTTCCGCTGCTGACTGCATGCTCCTGTTGTCTTTTTGTGATCCTAATCTCTGGACGTGCTCATGTGCCGAGGTGCGCAGCCACATCTGAGGTCTGAGCTTACTACTTCAGGTAGACAAGCACCTGGCAGAGAAGGGAGGGTTCGGCTCTTGAGTCTGGAAAGCTTCACATACTTACGACTAAGCTCTGTACGACCGTGATGTCATCCACCACAGCCCCGCCCTCCTCCTCGATCCATCGATCCCAGGACTTAGTGCAGACAGGAGCAACTTCTCGTGCTTGTCTCTCTGGAGCGCGCAGCCCGCCTCCTTTGCCAGAGCGTTCGCTGCCTGCATGGCCTCATAGACTCACAAGCTTACAAAACGAGCCACAGAAAAGCCATCGAATGTTTGGGGCGAAGTTGCCTATCACAGAACTTGTGGGTGGGGAGGCATCCAAAGCTCGGAGAGCTGAATCTTGGATTGGTGCGAAGAGTGCAAAATAGCTGCTGTCCCATTTCGAGCGATAGCTCTGGATGCGTCAGAGCTTTACCAGGTTGAAGTGTTCAAGTTATGCTTCTTCTTGGGCCCAAGGCTGGGGTGGCTTGCTCAAGTACTAAAGTAGGCTTTAAATCCGCGCTTTCTACTTGACTGCTCTGAGTTGCTCGCTTCCTCCGGCGCATAGTCACCAACGAGCTTGACGGCCTGGATCAGGCAACGTAACTGTATGTGCATGACTAACGATCAGAGTTTGGATCTCAGGCGGGGCATTAATATGCAATTTCGAAACATTTTCGCTGTTCTTAATAGGGATCGTTTCCGAAGGAGTTTGGCTTCCTTCCGGGATGCTCCGCAACAACTTCAGTTAGAAGTTCAACATAATATATGTCCAGTATGACCGTCTGCTCAGAGTTTTACAAACAGCTGTGATAAGACAGAATGCTGTGACTTTGGTACATCCGGTGTAATCAATCCGCTGCGTCACGGTAGCTGTGGGGCACAAAGTCTGGTGCTGAAGTTCAATCTTGCCCGTCTAACCGTGTCCTTGCGGGACACTTTTGCCAGAGCTAGAGCAGCTAGGTCTGCGCAGGATGTATGCTCGGGCCTCAGATTCATATCCAGCATCGCCAAGCCCAGAGAAGGGTTTCTCCACGTGGAACGGCCCATGCTGTATATTCGCTCCACATCTCCCGATTCCGCGCTGCCAATGCTATCCCGCTTCTCCTAAACCCTAAATAGCAAATGTCTGAAACCCTAGACTCTGCAAAAAAGAAGACGCAACCTCCTGAGGCCCGTCATTTCCATGTTGTTTGCTGGAGGGCAGGTGGTTCCTTGGGCCTGTAATGGATGCCTTTCTTTATGCAGTTGGACAGCTTTTGCTGAAATCATGCCAGTTCAGGCACCCCACCAGGGCATGACGTTCTGAAGAATGTAATGCCCTGGCGGCGTGCATTCAACGTTTGTTGTAAGGCTTTCGTACGCCTTTTTCCACCCAGAGTTGTAGAAGATTAGATGCTCCATAAAGATGATGGTCACCAGGCACTAAACCCCGACACATGCTGAACGAGTCCCAGAGCCCGATGTCGGTTAATCGGATGGAATCGCAAGAACCCCAAAAGCGCAGTTTGGCAAACTCTAAACACGAAAAGGTGTAAATGATTCACAGGTATTTCAGATTCTGACGTCTGGGTGGCAAATGAAAACAACCCAAGGCTTGACTGTAACATGATGGATGGCAAAGCCGTCTTAGCCGTAGCACTAAAGGCCCTCAAGGCCCAAAGCATCCCAAATTCCAATGTGAGATGATGGATGACAAACCCGAAACTTTATTTAAGCTTTGAAGAAGATGGCGAGTGACAGACCCGGCAGAACCTGAATGGGGACTGGGCCTGTGTGCCGAAAACAAAAAACTCAACAGAAACAACAATGGGGAATGATCCGATGAGTGGCAAAGCCTCCAACCTAAACGCAACCCTCCGAGAGAACCTAAACCCTAAAGATGATGTTGGGTCTAAAACCCACATCTCTAAAAAACACAAACTCGCCCAAGCCCTTCTCCTACATCTGAACAGGATGTGTTTGGGTCGCAAAGTTCCCGCCCAAATATGGTCTAGCAACAAACTTGCCTAACGCAGTTAAGTTAACGATATGTAAGGGAACAGAGTTACAAGCCGTCCCGGTGGTGGCTGGCAAACCCATGACCCAAACTTTGGCATCACCTGATGGAACGAGTCCCATCAACAGCGGTGGCTGATACAAAAAACCATAGCCCTTGTGGGAGATGTTGAGAGATCAACCATAATGCAGACCCAAGCCCGACGCGGATATGACTCACATATCAGATTTGGCAAACCCGAAGAACCAATTTTCAACCTACATAAAATGATGCAGAAAGTCCCCGACGGCGGTGACGGTCCCAAAACCCCCACTGCTGGAGGTGTTGTTTAGCTCAACCATAACATAGACACAAACCCGAACATAGACACAAACCCGAAGCGTATATGATGCGTGACAGTTACAACTACATAGTTATATTTCTTTCATCTTGAGACAAAAAGACCTGGTTGTAGAAAACCCAGCATTTATCAGCAGATATTGCCCCCTACAGCCAGATCCTCCAAAACAGATTGTGGGTCAAACCCTAATAGGAGATGTTGGGTAGGGAGCCGAAGCTGCTGAAATGAACGAGTGCCATGGAGAACTCCAGAGGACTGAACGATGTCCAAGACATCTCCGAACATAGCACAGCGCGTTAAACCTTAAATGCACACTCTCAATAGGATATGACCAGTAGCAAACCACCCTGCAAAGGATGACTGGCTCCCCAAGAGCTTTAACCGCAATGCCGCAATGGCATGGAACATATTTGTGCACCTATCTGATGATCTACACATTCGTCCGTGTACATCCATGATAAAAGCCAACACTAATATATATTTATATATATATATATGTAAAGAAACATACAAATGTGCGTATACAGACTGACAGACTTGCGATTATGTAATGACTCATCATGGACCCGCAAAGCCTTTATATGTAACATAGACTAAATCCACAAGCAAACATATTGATACGTAGACCACCAGACAGAAGTATTACAAGTATTAACATGTGCGGAGTCACTATGGCCTTGGGGTTTGAAAAGCTCGGGAGATCCAGTCGTTCTTTGAAGAATTCGGGGTTTGCCACCCTATCTCCTGTTGAAAAGGTTAACGTCGGTTAAAGGTTCAACGGTTAAACTGCTAGGTTCGGAGATGTTTTGGGCATCACTCAGCCCCGTCAGGGTTCTGCGCGGCAGTGCTCATGTCAGCAAATTTGTTTTGCTTCAAAGACGATATCTGGTGCCAGAGTCCAAAGTGTTTGCGGCAAGTCATCTTGGAAAATCAATTTGGTTTCGCCCTGCATCATATCCCCTTTATGTTTGGGTCTATGATCTATCACAGATTCCCGATATCGTTGCCACTGCTTCATGTTACGGATTGGCTGACCAATCTGTCCTGCAAATATCATGAGAAATTTTGATAAGACAGCACTGGCACATAATTACATATAGCTTCATACATATATGTACACAACCACGTATACAAGTTCATACAGCATGGATTCATGCATACCTATAAGATCCTGTAAGTACGGATATGTATGCATAGCGATTTCGTCTGTGTCTACGCATGTGTATCTATGTAGGTTAGGTATACATCTTTGGAGTATCTCGTAAGCAGTATGGTGTAAAGACTTTTGCTATTCTGATCGTCTGATCTTGAGATATTTGCTGTGTTTGTCAGTGATACATGTGAATACTTGTGCGCATCTTCCTTCATTTTTGCGCGTCCTGGGTGTTTGCACGGCGGTTTGTTCCCATGCCAGAAACAGGACGAACCAGCCTCAAATGATTCTAGCTACCACTGAGTTACATGAGTAAGAAGCCTTTGACTCAACCATGCCGAAACCTTGCAACCGCAAGTACATACCACCAAGGCATGACGTTCTGAAACTGCTGTGATGCATTGAAATACGCGGGCAACAGGAAGACCCCTCCACGCACAGCCCAGTGCCGGAAGCGTAAACCCTGGGCATTTCCGCGTGAGAAGGATGTCATACCACAGAGGGTGGAGGCGATGCCCCGCTACTGCTAGCTGCTAACACATACGTACGTCCACTGTGTAGTCATGGCTTATCTTGAGTCTCAGCAGTCGACAGCCGACACCCACGTTCACGACTCGATCAATGCGCACTTCCGAAGTTGCTAAGATGGGTGGTTGATTCAGGACGACTACTCGGGTCGAATCTGTGCACGGTCAGCACCCGCCTCCAGAGGAGCCACGAACTCCCACACACCGTCGCTGCAAAGCAGCAGAATCTGGGGCAGTTGTCGGGGCTTCGAAAAGCTGACCATGACAAATCGCAGTTGGTACCTCGTCTTCAGGATCCAGCTTCCGCTGTGAGACCTGGCAAAGTCGCTACGAGTAGAACATGCTGCTTTGCATTTTGTCACGCACCACAGCACAGCACAAACGCCAGTAGTACACAAGCACTATAACATGATGATACTACGCGGTATGCTGTTTTAAACTGGCAGCAGCTTGGCTTGGGACCGTATGTGAACAGGGCTTTCACGCTGAAGCAAGTTGACTGCTGCAGCGCTGAAGGAAGTGCGGAGAACAAAAGTGCAGGTCGGAGTCAGTGAGCTTGGGACAGAAAATGTAGTGAGGCTTGCAGCTTGGTCAGGCGATGGGACTGCAGCTCTGTCTGTTTGCTCCGGTCCAATCACCATACTCCCTTACACAGCAACTGCGATAAATGAGGATGACAAATCCTGACTTACAAGAACTAGCATTTCGAGATCACATGCTGTTAACATACGTGTACTACACACCTCCGAATACCGAACCTTTAAGCTCAAACCCTCGTTGAGGTCTGGATTTGAGTCCGTTCTGTATGATCCATCCTTTTTTTGCCCACAGCCGGCCCACCGTGACCCTCAGTTGTTGCACTGGGGCTCAAATCAAAGAATCCCAAAGGAAGTTATGGAAGCTTCTGAATCACTGTTTCGACGGCCACATGAATCAAGTTTTACGGCCAGAAGTTCTACGGTGAGTGTTGTGTTGGCTCGCAGCGCATTCGCCAAAGCCTCAGCGCCCTCGTCTCCAATTGAATTTCCCTTCAGACTCACATGGGTGACACTGGTATTGACTTCTAATGCCTTCGCGAGAGCCACCGCGCCTGCGTCACCAAGATCATTCTCTGCCAGACTGAGGTGCGTCACCGTGCCATTGACCCGCAAGGCCTCTGCGATTGCCGCAGCACCTGTATCCTCCACGTGATTGCCATCAAGGTTCAGACTCATGAGCGCAACATTGGTCATCAGCATGTCTGAGACAGCCCGGATCCCAGCAACTCCCAACGACCTATGTCGGTGTATCACCACCTCGTCTTCACTTTCCGAATGCGAGCTCCAATCAAAATCTAGATAACCACCGCTCTTGTGATGCACACGCCGCCTGTGCACAACACGTTCCAAAAAGGCCTGGTGCTGCAAGTCAAGGTCGGCAACAGTGTGGTTGAGCTTCAGCGCCGTTGCGAAGATCTCCATGCCAGTGTCGCTGATGCAACTTCTTGCAAGGCAGATTCTGACAAGGGTTTCGTTGGACTTCACATGATCTGCAAGAGCCCGTAATCCTGCATCGGTGATTTCATTGTCCGCCAGCCCGAGTTTGGTCAAGGTCTTGTTGAGCTTCAAGGCCCCAGCGAGTGCCTGAACGGCCGCATCGCCAAAATTAGCTGATGCAAGGTCTATTTCAATGATGCTCCTGCTGACCTCCAATATCTCCACGATGGTCATGTAAGGGAATGGTCTGATGAGGTCAACGCTGGTCACGGCTGTGTCTGTGAAGGATCCACACAGCCCACTCAAGGCCAAGCTTGTAAGCTTTACAGTCAAGCTCGGAGAGGCAGCTGTTGGTCCTCAAATCGTCCGCTAGCTTCTCTCTCCGCGGTTCTGGCATCCGCTGCACGTCTGTCGCTTCGTCGTGTATCGGTCCAGCCGGGCCGCGCGGCAACGCTGTTTTCCCGCTGGTTTCTCTCCAGCAAGCGCTCGATTTCGGACAACGCCCTCGGCTCGTCGCTGAGTTCCCACCAATTGCAGTGAATATCCAGGTCGATCACCACATGGTTGTTTTTCAGGCCATCTGCAAGGGCACAGGCGCCCTCCTGCCCCTTCATATGATTGTTAACCAAATCCATGATGGCCACGGTGCTGTTGTGCTTCAATGCTTCTGCAATGGCCTTTGCACCATGCAGCCCTATGCCATTGTTACCCAGGTCAACATGAGTGATGCTTTGGTTGGTCATCAAGGCCGTGGCGATGGCCTCAGCACCAGCATTCCCAATTCCCTTATGGCGAGAAAATTCCTTATTACGAATGACCAGCTTCGTGATGGCCGCGTTGACCCGCAAACCTTGCGACAGCGCCCGCACAGAAGTGGTGCCAAGTGATTCCGTGAAGATCATTGTCTGGATGGTGCTGTTTGCTTTGATGGCCTCTGCAAGAGCCTGTCCTCCAGCTGGACCGATGTCACCTTCGCGAATAATCAGAGTGTGGACGGTGCTGTTGGTCTGCAGGCCCGTTGCAAGAGCTTTCAACATTTCCCGAGCGGATTCCTCCGGGACGTTGCACCAAATCTCGAGCTTCTGCACAACACCACCTGGGCCCAGCAGGGCCTGTGCAAAAGCGGTGGCCTCCTCTGCCCCGACATTGAACTTCTTCAAACGCAGTGATCGGAGGCACCGGTAATGTTTCAGGGCCGGCGCTAGCTGTGCAAACTCGCTGGCTTTCAGGCCCTCTAGCAGCAAGTCTTCACAAGCTGATACTTTCTGGTGGAAGATCTTGGCCTGGAGCTGGACAACACTGGCCGCATCTGATCGGTGCGTGAAAACAGCGCTGCTTCTCAAGGCCTCCGGGGTCATGGGCATGGAGCGGAGCGTCGATGCCTCAGCCTCAGCCTGGTCAATACGATGGTTCATGGCGGTGGAGCTTTTTAAAGCCGACCACTCGATCTCTGCCTTGCACCAACCGCGATCACGGTACGGAGAGCGGTTCTGAACCAGGTCCCGCAAAGGGCGCAAGCGCACGGAGTCACTGGGCTCATCATAGACGGAGACTTGGATGGATGGATCTGCCAGCGCAGCCGTCCACGTGGCCTCTGGTGTCAGGCTCTCGATGCGAAGCGTGCAAGTGAACCTTGGCAGTTGGGGATTCGTACAGGAAAGACTGGGTGTCTGTACTTGTATGTTAATGCTTGTCAATGTGTGCAGATTTGGCTGAAGTACTGAAGCCGGAAACCCAACGGAGCAAGGCAATGCACCACTGAACAGCTCAGGAACTCATGGGCGTAGATGACGTGCATGTCGTCCAGTGCTCGCCGGAAGCTCTGTTCTTCCCGTTCACCCTTCCTCTGGTACTGAAAAAGGGAGACGTAATCGTAAAAGACCCACAAGTCGGTCTCATAGGCCGCCTCATAAAGACTTAGGCAGTTGACAATCTGCTCGAGCTGGAAGCAACAAGGGTCTGGATGCTCTCGGGTTTCCCAACTGTGCGAGACTGCGAAAATGATGGCCATTCGATTGCCTGCACCATACTCGCTCATCTCACCGTGTGTCACCAGGGCTGGACCATCAGTTGCATCGCCCCCCATCGATTCCACGAGTTCTGCTTCTTGACGCCGTGGCAACGCTTTCCTGCTGCTGCACAGCATGTACAGGTAGCGTGCCCGGACAAGTCGGATGTCCGCATTTTGCAGAAAGCTCGCCAAATCACCCCTTTTTCGGAGGTCATACTTGATTTCAGGGCCCGTCAGATTGGTTTGCAAATTGCAGTCCATTGGCGGCGTGCGTCACGCGCCTTGGTCATGAAGCACCTACTGGTCACATTTGATATTTCTGAGCCTGCGCATTGCGAACCGCGATGTGAAGAATGCAGCACACAAGCAGGAGGAACGATGTCCGCTGGTATCTCTTGCATTCATACACCAAAATTACAGCACTGAAGCAGCTCAGAGCCCTGGCCTCGGGGACGGCCGAGATGCCGCAGGTCTGCTGCAGTGCTCAACTCTTGTTCCGAAGGATGCCCAAAGACATAGGTTGTACAATTCAGTAGACTGCACTACGGCGGGACCTGGTGACCGAGAAGATCGCCAAGGCAGCGAGACATGTTCAGCCTTGTTTTGACGTCAGCCACGCAAACCCAGCAGTCTACACAGCCCGCTGTCAGAATGGATCGGGGCCGGCACCCCGGGTGGCGAGCATTCCTGCAACAGAACACACAGGCAGAACACTGATACTGAGGATTAGCAGCATCAGCATTCGGTAAAGACTCCTGGCATAGATCCGGTGATTGGCGTAGCCGTCGAACACTACCATGCCACCTGCCTGCAGGCCCATGATGCTTGGCAGTGTCGAAAAGATCAACGACGCTCCAGAGCGCCTTCTCAATGCGAGCCTTTTCGTCCTGCAGCACGGGATGCCACCAAGTGGTTGTAGACCCCAAGGGCCAACAGGCCTTGAGGTTGGGCTTGTGATCCCGGGTGAGCTGCTCTGCCTCGAAGTCCGCGGTTCCCTGGCAAAGAATCCGGAGGACTGGCAGAGGCAAAAAGACGTCCTGCGACTTCGGCCTTTCTCCGACCCAGCACGGAGGAGCTGTCAGCGACATGGGCGACCTCTGGACATGCCAAGTGCCCGGGCTCTCGCAGACGGAAGGGCTGAGACCAGCACGGTAATCTCTTTGCTTTCGTGATCGTGCACAACTAGAGTGGCCGTGGTGCCCGACCTCGGACGGAAGCGGCCTACATCGCCGGCCGAGACGTTGGGTCTCCTTGAGCCTTGCACAGGGAGGCATTCAGCTTGCCCATCTTGTCGGAGGCGATAATGAGGTCTTGAGTCTTCTGGAAGTTCTCCTCGGCCCGGCTAACTGGCAGAGAGCTCCAACCTACAAGAATCTGCCTCGTGCCTTTAGCATATCTGGCAATTCAGCTGAGCCCTTTCCAAAACGCTCGTCCTGCCATGGACACAACGATCGCGGAAAGCAGACACCCGCCCGCATCCAGCCGCACCGATTGCTGTAGACTTCAACAGGGCAGAAGCGCCATCAGAATCAGCTTTGGCAGGTTGTCTTTGACAAACTGCGAAACCTTGTGTCCTGTCGAGCTTGCGATGCTGCTCTAACTTTCTCCAAAGCCGCGAAACAACCCAGAACAGAAGATGCAATCACCGCGCTCTAGCCGCGAGTCGGCTGGCCTTTAGACCCGTGGCCATCAAAGACAGCATACAAGGAGAAGTATTGCTCCACCTTCAGGCAGAACCACGAGTCCTGGCAGGTCGATCAGAGCTCTTTGAGGCCCATTTCCATGAGCAAAAAGACCGGTCTCGGCTCCTGATTTGGACTCTCTGGCTTCAGACCTTTGCGGCCTGGGCACGCAAGCCGGCAAGCCGGCGAGCCGGTCACGAACTGCGGTTTCAAGTATATCCGAACCATTCAGAATGCTTCCCTTTGCCCGAGGTGGCCCTTTTTTCCACTCTCATGCTTGTCATGCTCCAGTCCGAAAAAATGGCAGAAGTTTCTGCTGGCCACCTCGAGCACTTCCAGCGTCCTCAGCCCCTTCGCCACTGCCAAGGTATGGGCAACCTTGAAAGCGCAAGGGCAGAGTCACGGCCCCGAGCCCCTGGCTGACCCCAGAAGGCCAAACTCCCAACTGCTGAAGGCGCGGCTACTCCAGATTACTCCAGACACTCCTGCGACAACATCGAAGCAAGGCGATGCTGAGGCTCAGGCCCACGGGACGTGACCCGGGTGCGAGTCTTGGCCACGGTAGGGAGCAGGCGCCATGTACGGCCCGTCGGTCTCCAAGAGCAGGCGGTCAACCGGCAGTACTTTGGCCAGTTCGCGAAGGCCTGAAGCAGTTTCGAAGCTTTCGGCAACCTTCATCCATCCATTCCCTTCTCTCCTTTCCGCCTCCATCCTTCCAGGACCAAGCCCAAGTCAAGGCGCCAGGCACGCTGACATATGTGTTGGGGCGCCTCGGAACCGAAACACATCACCACCATGAGGTGCAGATGACAACAAACGCCTCGTGGACCTTGTGACACCATACCAAGCGATGATTTATCTAATGCCTGTGGGAAGACCGTGGGAACCATGGCGCTCATAAGAGAACGGACAATCTTGGCAATGTCAGAACGACGCTAGCTACTTTCTAAAATCTTAGAATACTCCACGGATCTCCACATTGCATCCACACTGAAAAAGACAAGGCTCTCTGCAAGGAAGGATAGAAGCATGGACGCGGATCCCATGAAGGAATGCAGCTGAACGTAATGCTCACGGGGCACCTCGAGATGTTAGCCACAACAGGATAGCATTATCGCAGAAACAAAAATGATTGGCCGCCCACGTATGCATCCAGGATATGAAACACTTCCTCCTCTGCATCCCTAGAATGAACCACCTCGGACACGGTAGCTCCAGACTGTGCAGGAGGGGCATTTCGGATCTTCCAAGCGCAGAACCAGGGGAATCCCACGCTTCAGGGCAACGTGTATCTGATCGATGAACACCTGCTTGGCAAAAAGCGTGTCTCAGCAGCACACATGCTCGCCATGAAAGATAAACTTTCGCCACAACTGCCTGCCGCATCTTCTGACGCAGCTCTGGTGCCGCCTCCAACTCATCAGCCCTGACCAATGGAACTAGTAGAGCGAAAACATGTTGCCAACGTAGCGCGGCAAGCGATGGTGCTCGGAGTGCATCATGCTCCCTGCCCCGGCCCTTGCAAGAGCACATGCACGATTGCCTCTTGTTGAAGTCCAGCCCACACTCGCCCCAGCCGACGCCCTGCGCACCGCACGTGTCAAGCGCCGCCTCGAGCCGTGCCTGCACCTCCGGCTGCGAGCACTGAGAAATTATTTACTTCGAACATCCCCACCCTACAAATAATGCATTTGGGGGCCACGCCACCGACTGGCGTTGCGGTTGTGGGGTTACACGTACCAAAACAGGGTCACACCACTGACTGGCCCAAAAAATCTTGGGGTCCCCGGGTCGGGCACTCCAGAAAGTGTCACGGTTGTGTTTGGGGTTGGGCACTCCAGGAGTCTCACGATAGTCTCTGGGGGTGTCTGGAGGTAGTCTCAGCGGGCGAGGAGCGGACGAGGAGCGGACGAGGAGCGAGCGGGAGCAATAGCTGAACCTTAAGTCTAACAACCCCACACCGAAGGTGAGGAAAAAGCACACGTGATGCCGAGCGGACAGCCGATGCACAGCCGAAGGAAGAGGCACGGAAGCGTCTCCCACGAGCGCTACGGACCATGCTGCAACAACGTCGAGGTGCGAATCATCCCCGTCCCAATCGTGCTCCCGAGCACGGTGGTCAACAACATCTTTAACAAACTGTATGGGTGAGGTCAGATCGAAAGCAATTGCAAAATGTGGCTTGCTCGTGGCGAAGGCTGCATCGCGGCAAACGAGTGCACCCCGCTGTCGCCTGGAGAAGTCATGCTCCAAAGCCCAACTACTGAACAAGCCAAACAGACTTCTCAATCCTTCAATTACCAGTAGTTGCCTACTTATCACCGGCAAGCACCACCCGAGTCGACAAAGTGCTTCCCAGATGTACGTGTGTGTAGGTGCACCTGGGATGTGTAGGCTTCGAAGTCATTCGGATGGATGCCGAAAGTCGCATAGATCCGTCCGTCCATCATCTCTCGGCCCCACTTGACAAGCTGCAGCGTGTCCTGTGGTAACGAGATGATCGCTCCGTAACACAAACGCCATGCTGCAATTGCTTGTTTTGGCCGGTCCTCAATGACCTCTGCGCCGCAGCAACTTTGAACGATGCCGACGATTCTGGCACCTGCGGCCACAGCAGCAATCGAAAGCAGTGCGCTCGTCTGGTAATCAGCCAAGGCTTTTGGCACACATACGAAACTTACAAGATTTGCGCACTTCTTGCCACATCTGTGCCCGGGAAACGACTGCAGTAGTGGTGGCGGTGGTGGCTGACGGTGGCACTGGAAGGTGTAGGCACCGTAAAGCAGTAAGACGAGGAACTGTGTCACAGTCCCACCCCAGCAAATGGAAATCAGAAGGCGCCTGGCAGCTTCGTGACTTCGTCTCTGAGAGATGCGAGGTCTCCAGCACGCAGCGCAGGAAAGGAGCGAAGTTTCTCATTCTCATGTGCGAAGAGGCAGCGCATCTGCGTGCAGTTCGGGAGGAAACCTCCGCTCAGCTCACTCGCCCCAAGGAAAACACTTGCAGTTCCTGCCGATGGCTGAGGCATCATCTGCATCGCAATGCTTTCGCATACCATCCGAAGCCGAATCTCCTGGTCAGACTCTCTCAGTCTCTCCACTCGTGTCCTTTGTGTCAGCCGGGTACTGAGCGCTAAGGGGGCAAAGCCGCGCAGCACACCTTCACGAAAAAGAAGCACTGCCCCAACAGCCAACCCTGGGACCCCGGGAGGTTCCCTTCAGATAACTGCAAAAAGGAAGGTGGGTATACCCTCGTCAACGCCCTTCATATGCCTGCCTCGTCCGCAGCACCTCATCCAAATGGATATGTGCGTCGGTGATTGGAAGGTCTCGAGCCGTGCCCTGTCCCATCACACGCAGACTCGATGAGCACTCCTTTGAACGCAGACCCAACGGCCTTCTCGTCAGGCTCGCTGCTAAAGTACCGAAGCTCCACGGCACCTCGAATGTAAGCATTCCAGAAATGGACTTCTTCGCGGGTTGTCGTTTCCTTTCGTGGGATTTCGCCCTCACTTTTGTGCGACATGTTTGTGATTTCAGTAGCAGTAGTAGTAGTAGTAGTAGTAGTTGTTGTTGTTGTTGTTGTTGTTGCTGCTGTTGTGGTAGTTGTCGTTGTATATAGCAGCAGCAGCAGCAGCAGCAGCAGCAGCAGCAGCAGCAGCAGCGGCAGCAGCAGCAGCAGCAGCAGCAGCAGCAGCAGCAGCAGCAGCAGGGGCCGGAGCGGGAGTGGGAGCGGGAGCAGGAGCAGGAGTAGTAGCAGTAGCAGCAGCAGTAGCAGTAGCAGCAGGAGTAGGCCGGTCGAGTTGTAATTCAGTTGTAGTTGCGTTATTGTTTTGTTTTTTGCCGTTGTTGTTGCTGTTGCTGTTGCTGCTGTTGTTGTCCTTGAAAAAAACCTGGCCGTCTTTCGCGACTGCTTTCGCGGAAAACCTACTAACTACGATCTCCTCCAAACACACAAACTCTTACATTCAGGCCGGCTATGAAACCGTGGTGACACTCGGAAAGAAACCGGTTTGGACGCATGACCCACGCCTGCAGGCTGTATGGGCACCATCATGTAGCCATCCACAAGCGCAGGCGCGCCATCCGCAAGAACCAGATCCTGCACCTTGACCTCCGATGTGGATTCCGGTAACGAAGAATCTGAAGTGTAAGAGGCGTTGCCCATGTCCTCAGCCCCCGACATGGCCAATGATCACCCATTCGGAGGGGGACCGCCACACCTGTCATCGCACTTTAAAGCGAATCCCATGGCTCTGGCGGCCAGTCGCCTCGGAAGCGTCTGCCGCGCTGAGACCGGAGCTGATGCAGCGAAGCCGTGTCCTCGCGAAGCCCAAGCATTCGAAGCTTCAGCCGACCCGAAAGCCTCAAAAGCCATCCCTCTTATCGTTCCAACCGCGGTCTGTCCCCTGTTTGATGCCGTCCAATGGCGGCAGACAGAGTGGTCGTCGTCGCAGCTCAGATGGGCCGTGTGCCTGAGCTGCAGAGATCTCACGTGCAATGCTACTTCAAGGGTACAAAGGACTTGACAAGCGCAAAGCACAAGGCACATTCCAGCAGAAGGAACTCGTGAACGGACACTCAAGGCCTCAAAAGACTGCTTCCGAGAATGGCCAAAGTCCGTGCTTTTTCACCCTGTCTCTACCTTCCTAGCAGAGGTTGTGCGGTACCGCTCTACGACCCACTCTGACAGGACACTCTTCGACAGCTTCATGGCTGAGGTTCCCAGGTCATCCCAGACCCTCGGACCATTTCGGGGTTTTCTGAATCTGAAGCAATACAGGCAGGCCTGGCAACATGAAGAGGGAGCACAGATTTTTCTTGTGGTATCCGGCATCACCTGCTGCAGCGCTGCAGCAATCCTGATGCGAAACGGAGATCATGCGCTGCTTCCGAGTCGAGAGCTGCTGAGTTGCAGTACTGCTTAAATGGCACCTAGCAGCCTAGCACCTTCAGAAGAGGCACAGCCTTGGCCTCGCTTTGCGAGCTATGCTTGAAGTTGCATGAGTCGCCGTAGATGCAGCCGCCCCTCGCGCAAGCTTGAGCAGTGGCGCAACTAAAACAGGTCACAGGCATCGAAGTCCCCCAACCTGTCGAAGAAGTAGCACCGCTTCTTCTTGAAGGACTCCTCGGCAAACACTGTCTGTGCCCTCTACAGAACAAAGGCACCGCTAGGACGAAAGGACTTGAAGGAAGAGGCGCCTCGCCCACATATCCGCCGTAGTTGCCTGGCAACTTGGAGGCTTCGACGACATGCTTCCACCAGGTTGACCTTCTGCCCGAAGATCGATGCATCCAACGGAAGCAGCGGGGAGCTCCGTGCAGCCAAGCTGCAGAAGCGTCGCTTGGAACTGCTCGCAGGGACCCTGAGAAGCCTGCAGCAGAGCGGCAGAGCGGCAGAGTCCGAGTCGAGCCCCCAGCTCGGAGAGCCGACAAAAGGCAAGGCCTGGCCTTGGAGACGAGGGCTCCGGCGGCTCCGGAGGCTCCGGCTGAGCCATGAAACCATGGCTCCGGTCCGCCCGCGACGTTGAGCGGTTCGGGCTTTTGGGCTTTTGGGCTCTTGGGCTTTGGGATGTTGTCTAGGAGGTTGAGCAGGATCGCCTACCGAGGTGAAAGCATGAGTCCTGTGAACGCTGCTTGAAGCGTTTGCAGCTGGCTCCACTCAAAATGCTTCGAGGGCACACTCTGGCTGCACGGGCAGAGCAACCGGCTTGCAGCCTGAAGGAAGGCCAAGGCCAGTGCAGGTGTATCCTAAATGTGCGGCGGCCTCGGTGCAGCGAAGCAAAACTGGAGCTGCCAGACTCTCACAAGAGGTCTTTCTCGGGACTCGCACCGGTTCAATGGCATCCCCCAGTTGCTGGATGGCCTTGTTTGCAAAAGCCTCCTTCCTGGCATTCCGACAGCTTGGCCAAGCATCAGCAGTTACTTGCAGCAGGATACAGCCTGCAGCGAGCTGATAGACAATTTACACAGCCTTGCTCCCATGCTTCGGCTGTGGCAAACAATGCCACCCAGCGCAGCGATTGCATCAGAAAACACTTTGCCTCAACAGTATCGTGTAAAGTGCCAGGAGGACCCAGCGTCTAAGGCAGTGCCTGAAATCAGCTCTTGTCAGTTTCTGAAGTTACATCGTAGCATATCGGAGCCAGACAGTCTTCGAGACAGACTTGCAGCACGCGCCGGATGCGCCTATGCTCATCCTGCGGCCGGCTTTGATATTTTTTCCTTCCAGCCTTCGTTGACAGCAGCAAGATTGCTCACAAGTGCACCCAATGATTTGGGGTGAGGGATGCACCATGTCAGTTCAAGGGCGCAGGCAACTGGAGCACCGTCTCGTTGTCCAAGGCGGAGAGCAGACCCCGGTCCTGATGTGTGGACACACATTGCCAGTCGAGACTGTGTGTGCATGTGTATTAAGAAAGCTCACCAGCCGATACACGGGGAGCAGCAGTGCAAAATGCTACAGCATCCGCAGGGTTTCCGAGCTACTTGGTGGGCATGAAGGACATTTCTGGGCAACGGCGGTCCTCTTCTCTGATGTCCTGAGTTCGGGGTTGCCCAACAAGCCATGCGCGCAGCACCCCGGTCACACTTCAAAACATGGGTGGGCTACATGCAAAACATGTATGCACATAAGCATATATCATGTATCACATTTCTGCATCTGTATTCGTATGTCGTCTTTACATATTACTCTAGCTTGCAAACTTCAGCCGATGTGCCAACAGGAAGAACACACGACGTGCATAGTAGTAGTTTAGTAGTAGTAGTAGTAGTAGTAGTAGTAGTAGTAGTAGTAGTACGTAGTAGTAGTTGTACGTAGTACGAGCAGTAGTAGCAGTAGTAGTAGTAGCAATAGTTGTAGTAGTAGTAGTAGTAGTAGTAGGAGTAGTAGTAGTAATAGTAGTAATAGTAGTAATAGTAGTAGTAGTAGTAGTAGTAGTAGTAGTAGTAGTACGTAGTACGTAGTAGTTGTACGTAGTAGTACGTAGTAGTACGTAGTAGTAACAGTAGTACTAGTACTAGTACTAGTAGTAGTAGCAGTAGTAGCAGTAGTAGTAGTAGTAGTAGTAGTAGGAGTCGTGGTAGTGGTCGTCGTCGTCGTCGCCGTAGCCGTAGTAGGAGGAGTTGGCAGCAGCAGCAGCAGCGGCGGCGGCGGCGGCGGTGGTGGTGGTGGTGGGAGAAAGCAGCGACAGCAGCGGCAGCATCAGCAGCAACAGCAATACAAGGACAGCATGAGAGAAAGCGCAAGAGTACGAGTAGCAGGAGTAGAGGTCAGACAAAAGCGCGCACAATCACACACACACACACGTATGGATGGACACAAGCAAGGCTTGTCATCGGCAATAGATAAGACCCGGTATTATGATATTGTGTCCAGGAGCGATCTCGTCTGCAGCCTCCTCATTCTCGACAATACCGACTGAGAGTCGACGGCGCTCTGCCGGCACCTCGCCGCGGCAGCACATCTCATCTTCGGATGGCAGGCCACAGAGTATGACAACAGCACCACAACTTCGGATGGCCTCAACTTTCTGCTTGCCACTCGAGCCAGAACATCCCATAGAGGTGGGCTCCTGGACGGCTTACCAGTGCATGGCGGTGGGAGGCAATCCGTGTTGAAGCATACAGAGAAACAGAGACAGAGAGGGACAGAGAGGGACAGAGAGGGACAGAGAGACAAAGAAACACGGAGAGAGACAGAGAGACACAGAGACTGGAGAGAGACAGAAAGAGAGGAAGAGACAAGAGAGAGAGAGACCTCGTGCAGATGTTCTGCTCATCTATGCTGACATGCATGATGCCACTGTGAAATTCCTGGCGACAAGAGAGACGGAGAGAGAGAGAGACAAGAGAGAGAGCGAGACAGAGACAAGAGAGAGGGGGAGAGAGCGAGAGAGAGAGAGAGAGAGAGAGACAAGAAGGAGAGAGAGAGAGACAAGACAGAGAAGCAAGAGGGAGAGACCAGAGAGAGAGAGACAAGAAAGAGAGAGCAACAAGACAGAGAAGCAAGAGAGAGAGAGAGAGAGAGACAAGAGACAAGGGAGAGAGAGACAAGGGAGAGAGAGAGAGACAGGGGAGAGAGACAAGAGAAAGAGAGAGCGAGAGACCTTGAGAGAGAGACCTTTAGAGACCTTTGCCAAGCTGTCCCCGCCTCCCCGGCTCTTCCAATCCAAACCTCTCTGGGCGCACAACGTGGCCATGAGCGAAATAAACTGCGGAAGGAGGGCAACGAGATCACTTGGACATGCCTGGATCATGGAATCTCCCGGTGTCTGACGACAAGGACTCAAGAACGTGAAGCTGCTTTTTGAGTCTCCGTGCAGGCGCCTTTCGAAGCTGCTGCTTGCGTTTGCCAAGTGTTGGATATCATCACGCTCCAAACATGTCGCCCATGGCGACGGAGTGTGGTTCACTCTCCAAACTTGACACCAGCGAGCTGCTCTCTGCATTCGTGACCGTATGTGGTGAGAAGACTGGCAGCAAATCACAAGACATGTCCGTGGTCACACGAAGCAAAACTTCCGCTTTACATAGTCTGCGACACACGTTGTGATTATGATCTTCTTGTCAGGCTGTCTTGGGCAGACTCTTCAAGCACTGTTCTGTGTGACTGGCTGTCTTCGCGGTTGCACCTATAGTCTTCTGGAGTGACTTCCCAAGCAACGGGCGGAACTAAAGCTGACAATCACCGGTTACAGATCCTCTGGCGTCGGCGCTGTGCGCTCAAAACCTTTCAACCATGCGAGAGCGACATCTGCAACTGTTGTTGCCGGGAGTGTCGCAATTGCCGTGCGTGGCTGGGGACTATAGGGACTAGTGCTTCGGGCGGCGGCTCCAAAGGGAAAGGGGATCTGACGTGGCCCAGTGTCACTCGGCCTCTGTCTTTCATGAGCTGATGCAGCTCCGCGGTCTTCATGGACTGCAGGTCAACTCTCTCGACCTGATACGATCTGGCCCGAGAAGAACTGCAAGATGGACACCGCATGCCACACTCCTCGTCGTCACCGGCAAAGCACACGAGCTCTGGCTTGGCACCAGGGATAAAGTTTACGGTCAAGTCTTTGAAGCCTGGCCACTGGAAGTCTGCCTACGGTGGGCGAGAGCACAACACTGGCAACTCCGTCAGTTCTGAAAGCGCTTTGCCGACATGTACGCGCAGGTGCGGCCATTCACATCGCAAGCAAAAGACATGCCGCAAGCACCATCTGCATGGCCTGGACCTTTGACAAATCTTTTCACCTCGACAAAGGAAGGCTTGCATGACTCAATCAGCGTACCATTTCAAACAAGACATCCATTAAAGTAAAGTGCTTTCACAACAATCCCAGGACACTCGCCTCAGGAAGCTTGTTCAGTTTTCAGCCGCTGCAGGTCTGGATCTCGCAACGCTGATCCTGTGCGCAATGCGCACGTGTATGCAGGGATGCTCTTCACTCGCTTGCTGAGGAGATTCTGTAAAGGCCGCTACGCTTAGCACACCACGCAATCGCCGGCTAATGCTAACTTATGCAGGCTTTCCGAGATCCACTGATCACGGGCGACGGCTAAATGGAACACAAAGCCCACACAACGAAGATGTCCTGCGCGGCACCTTGTTCGAGAAGCAATGCCTCCAGAAGGCTTTGATTTGAGGAGACAGAAGCCAAAAACAACACGCAGCCGAACATGTCAGTAGAGAGGCGAAATGTCACGGACCCAGAGTTCGCTCAGGTCACGGCAACTAGCAGTATCCGGAGAGTGGTCAACCTTCAAGAGCACAGAAACTCCTATGCCTATGCGACAAGAACAAACCCTCTCCAAATCCTGCTGAGGTCTGCACATCACAACTGTGACCTCGAGAAATACACCTCAGCAGAATCTGCTCAGCGGCTGCCACTACGAGATAACAAATAACAACACAGGTTGCTACTACCAAGGCTGAGAACGGCACGAGCTACTGTCCGTGCACTAAGGCTTGCGACGGTGGAAGATTGAGCTGTTCTCTCTGCTGTTCCAGCGTGGTCGACTTGATGTCATGCGTTGCCTTGCGAGTGAATGTCACTGCCTCGGCATAGGTCTTGTCTCGCACACATCTGTCAATGCGAAAGCTGCGGACCTCCCGAACAGGCCCATGGCATGGAACGATCGAGATATGCACTTGCATCTAAAGTGTCGGTCCCTGCGGAGTTTCTGACGGCAGCCTTGTTTGAGGCGCGAATGTCACGGCTTTGGTCTGTGAAACAATCAATGCCAGACTCTGCAGCCAAAGCTTGGCAGGAAAATAAAGGAGTCAAGCGCCAAGCACTCAGCCACAGGGCGGTTACAGGCGTGCTGGAGCCAAATCACTCACTGCCGCTCGCAACTCGCAGGTCATTCCTCTTTCTTGGCCTTGTCCTGCCCGAGAACCTGCGCTACCGGCTAACACAAACTTGATGACGATTCAGCTCGTTCGCTCGACTCGAAACCTCGAAGATGTGCTTCCAATCTTGCGCGAGGTCCTGCCACACACTTGCGCAGCAGGCAAGATCGATCGCATTGCTCGTGGGTCTGTGCCTAGATTCTGGCGACACTGTGCCAACTCACTTGCATCACATCATACTGATGGTTCGGCTCCCTGGCCTGGAACCAACCCTCCCATGTGCGATCAGGAGGTGCTGGCGCCTTTTCGACACATGTCCCAAGATGTGCACACTCGACACATCTAGGCTACCCGGCACGACGCTTCTTGATCAGATCGTAGGCCTCGGAGTGCGACGAGTTCGTACACTGCTTCCGGCACATATCTTAAAGAGATTTGGTTCACATACATTCGAACACATGAAACGGCACAGCTGTCGATTCGAAACGTTTCTTCTGGCCCCGGCTTTGGTTATCTCGGACATCTTGTCGTCGCACTCTTTGCCGCACCTCGCGCAATCAATCACGCAGGCTTTTCTTCATTTAAAGCTCTTCTTCCAGGGCATGTACCCGGGATTCCGGTCTGGATGCCACTGCAAGCTTTTGCTTCGGTATGCTGCCTTTGCCTGTCCGAGCAGAAAGAGTCGCAGGAGGAAGGACCCGCCTAACCCTGAGCCCAGCAAGTCGAGGAAGACCCTCTGCCTCCTGCAAGGATGCAGATTTCGAGATTTCCAGGAGCTCGTAGGGGTTGACCTGCAGCACAGCAACGAAGATATTTGCTCTCTCTGCCCCCTCCAAACAGCCACTTGCTGAACTACTGCATTATCCACCTGCGTCTGCGCTGCAATGCGGTCGATGTCAACAACCTGTGCAGAATCGTCTGTCGTATCATGTGTGCCCTTGCAATGTCCATGGTGGCAGCGATAGCCTGTAGGTGATGCAAAACGGTGGGGATGTAGACCTCGACTCGTGCGCAGGTATGTGACAAATCAAAAGGGGTGCGTTTCGCTTGAAATGGCACGGGGGGGGGGGGCCACTCGCAGCCTAATTTATCTGGCCCCGCCATGACAGAGCCATCCAGGGCATCTTGGTGGTTTTCCCCTGGCAAGCCCTGGATTTTACCCAGATTTGGGATTTCTGCTGCCGTTATGCTCAAGGGCCTTCGTCACAACATGTTCCATGCGGCCCATGCGTGTCCAAAAAAACACTGAGACTGAGTAGAGCACCACAGCACCGAGCCCAAGGAGCAATAGGCCCACGAAGCACCTCGGTGATGCAGTAATGCACCTCTAAGAACAAGGGCCTCCTGTCTCGAGGTCTGCACAGAGGCAGCCGGCAAAGCAGCTTCTTTCGGCTGTCATCATAAGGCGCATCAGGGGCGCACCGCCTAAGACTGGAGATGCCCAAGGATCGCTGTCATGGAGCCTGTGAGCATCCCGCTGGCTGTTGAAGCCACGAACATAGAAGCGCATCAAGAAGCCGTCCAAGACCCAGCCTCCATCGAAGCATGAAGTATGTGCGAAGCAGTGTGGCAATCAGAGATCGGGACCGACTCCAACGAAGTTCAAGGTCCAGAACGCCACCATCCTTGGGACAGCATGGCCATGGGACACGTTAGCACATGCACTGCTGCACTCGGAAGTGCTCCCGAGACCGAGACGCATGTGCCAGCCGATCCAGATACAGGTGGTGTGCGGGGAAGAACGGATTCAGCCACAGCAGGTAGCTGCACAGGACCCAGGATGCCCCATGCAGTTGCACGCCGTAACTGACTCTCGCACAAAATCAATCGGCAGTCCTTGTCAAGAGCCGCTTCTGCTTCTGCATGGAAGTCGACGCTGCCTTCACACTTACAAGCCGCAAGCTCCGCAAAATTCGCAGCTGGCTGGCACAGTCTTCATGGAATCTCCTCGTTGAAGTACACATGGACGCTTATAAAAGCTGGGACGCTCGTGCAAATTTATGCGGCCTCTCATGCTGTCTGCTGAAAAGGCAGAACAACTTCTTGACGCAAGGGTCAACGTGATTGCAACATTCCCGGCCGGGCCGCACGCCTCTATCTGCTGCTGGTCTGCCGAAGGAACCGTGGGCACAGACTTGGAACAACAACCTTAACGAACCGGCAGGAGCATTCATCAATCGACTGTGTGATTCCGTAAACTTAGGCCAATGCATAATCGGCAAATCACGATGATACTGACAACGTGTATCGTTCCGACCTCAACACATCCAAAAACGCCGGATCGAACATGTCGCAACTGTCATCCATTCATTGGGACCTATGCGGTGCAAACCTGCTGCTGCAAGCTTAAACCAAAGTTAAAGCAACTGAGGCAGGCTGCTAAAAGCTGTTGCACGTCCCAATCATCATCGAGACCCAGCTCCTCGTGCCAACTGTCTGCCAAACTACCAATTTCAATGCCACACTCTCTGGCATGGAACCTGAAAGATTTCCTCGGAGAAATCATCCATTTCGCTGGCATGGAAGGCCACCCTCCCGGCCACGGCACATGATAAAAGAGATTCCAAACTAGACGCAGCTTGCATGTGTGGTGGAAACGACTGGATGGCAACATTGGTCGCCAAAACATACATGGGCTGTGTATAGGTGTAAAAAAGTTGCAACAAACCGTCAATCGCATCATTGTCGTCAGTATGGTTTCAAATCGCAACGCGGTGCTTCTTGGAGTTTCCATCATGTCAAATCATGCTTGGAGCCTGCACTGCAGAAAGATTACCTTCTCCAAAATTGCTTTATGGGGTTAAGAGACTTTGTATGAATTGCAAGGGACCGATCAAGAGTTTCGATGTGCGAACCTCGCAGTGCAAGCAAGCTTGATCGATCTTCCTATCAAGCACGCGGCAGACGCTGAGTCTCGCCACATAAAAAACTGCCACTCTGTGTGGAGCACTACATTCTGGTCCCGGTATCCAAAATGCAACAGTTTTGGCAGGTTAACAACGGCACATCTTGGTCTGGTCTGGCTTTTCTGGTTAGCGCTCGATCCGATGCATTGTTCCAGACAACGCTATTGGAAGGAAACACCTTGAACAACAAGTCCAATATGTTCAAGAACTAGTATCTGGCGGAAAGACTCATCTTCTTTTTGATGAAAGAAAATCCTCTGAGACTGACCAAGAGTCCCACTAAGAAGATTTGCTCGACGGATTTGGAAGAGTACCGAGTTTTGAGAAAGCAGACATAGATTGACGAAATTTTTTCTGGTTCAAGATAATAAAATGAGAAATAATTCTCCCTCCATGTGGTTGGTCTTTTCAAGTCTGCAAATCACGCAAACACGCGCTTTAAAACCAACCCCGCTGTGTCAGAGCTGCGTTGACCGACGGCTCTCTTGCCAAGTTCAAGAACACAACTGTGCAAAATCCCACCCTTGTCCAATCTTGAAAGCTGTTCCGGATGATCTACAGAGAAAACCGGCATGCGGGCGGAACGTCCAGACGAGAGACAGACTCGAACGATGATCTTTGCCCCAACAGTAGATTGATCTGGTATCTTTGGCAAACTTTGCTTTCCGACATCCTACATCAACGACTGACCAATAATGTCCAACCACTGTTGTAGCTTCACTCGGTTCTGCTGCTACCGCCAAACGAATAACGCGCGGATCCGCAGGTGCCACCTCTCACCTGCACAGCTGGGGGTTTGCA